TATCTAACAGTTCTAATGTCGCATATGTAAATTTTCAAAAATTTCCTACAAATTTTCCGACGCGTCGGCAATATTATTTTATTACCATGCATAACATCGTTGTTAACACTTTATGAACAGTCCCATAATACCGAAATTAAGGAGAGAGACGTAAATTTTGTGACATGTGTAGACGAGTTTCAAGTAAATTTGACAACAAATGTGATACAAAATTCTGGGAAGATTTTCGAAAATTTATATTTTTGGACAAATTTCCTAAAATATCTAAGTTTGCGCCAAAATTCTTATGCGTAGGAAGGAGAATAAGTAACGGGACAAATTGGACTCTTATCCAATTTAGTTAAGAGATTTCTGCCTGAAAAAATTCATGAATGGAAAATAATTTGGAAATTTCTCTTCCCTTTCATTTTACGAAACAATGGGGCAGGAAGGAAGAGAGGGGACAAGTCGTATTTTATTTATAACGCACGTATATAGAAACAAAAGAGGCGAGTTTCTTGTTTCTTGTTTACTCAGGACAAAGAAAGGAGCGAGATTGATTCTGGTCTCGAAATTGAGAAGGCTTGCTTGGCAAACAAGATGGACGGAATTGAAGGAAAGTTGCATTATTTAGGTTCAATTAAGGGGTTGGCAATTTCGAGGGGGGAATATGTACGGGCCTCCACGTGCCGGGGGGTGGAACGGGGGTAATTTCATGCTGGGTAATTTTTAGTATTTTACAGGGTGAAGTGGGGACCGGAAGTAAATAGTGTTTTTTTACTTGATTTGGGTGAAACGGAACAGGATTCTTGAGGAGAAGACAGAGGATGAGTTTTTTGGTGTGTGAATCACACAGTGTGATGTAATTTTTCATCTTCTTATGAAACTGTGTTCTTGTGGTTTGAAAGGAGTTTTCGTGACGTGTTTAAATAAATTTTTTAGGATAAAATAGCTCAAAAATTCGCATATTTTTGTAGACTTTCTAAAATTATGTCTCGCGTGTTACAATAGTTAGCAAGTTTATCAATAAGCTTGAGTTTAGTGCACAAATTATTGAAGAAATTAATCCAGTGTAGCAATGCGTGCCGAGTTTTAAGTCAAATTCGAGGTACAAATTGAGACTGAAAGTGAAGCAATATCAGGGGCCTACTTAATTATTAGCAAAATAGCATTACTGCTAAACTGAGACATTTACATGCAATTTCGTACGCACGAAAAAGTATAATAATGTCACATATCAATTAGGAATTTGACTTTTTTGCGCTGTGACATTTCGATACACCTTTCTGTACCTAATTACCACGTTTTTTGCACACAGTCCTTAAAAATAGTTGGAAAATGCCTGGCTGAAATTGATGGCGACATTTCGCCCTGAAATTTCTGGCCTTTTCCAAGAGGTCAGAAGGTGATGTACATACATATCTACAGAGAAAAGTGGTCTTCCTTCCTTTCCAGCACCCAGTAAAATATTCACTGTGGAACAAATCGACTCATTTATGCACCCACATAACTCGAAAAGTCGAAAAGTGAGAAATCCATCATGACTTGTTTCTTACTCGCCGAAAGTGAACTAAAAGTAAATCCTGCCAGCCTCCACCACTTGATAAAAGTGAGTTGGAAAGTGAAAAAGTGCAGCTAGGAAAAGGGGCCCCGCATTAAAAATGTGGGTATTGTTCTGGGAAACTTGGGAACAAGAAAGAGGCAAAATTTATAAGGGATTTCGTTAAATTTACACCCTTACAAATTCGGTATTAAAATACTACCATGTAGTATTGATATAACTCTACCAAGGTGGGATTGATCAATACTACCGTGTAATAAATAACACATTGTTAAATAGCGGTAAAATTTCACTACCAAGCGGTAGCAACTTTAGCACCGAGAAATCAATACCTGCCTGACCATACCAGATTTCTAACCGCGTACCCATCCCTTAAAAATACGTTCCATTCTTACCGCACGGCCCCCACCACTATTTTTGACACGGGGAGAGGTGCATGCATAATAAATAATATCACTTCATAACGATGAGAGAGATTCCGTGTTCAGAAGTTTTCTATAAAAATTTATTTTAGTATGTAAGTAACGCAACAATTTTTGTAAGGGGGTAAAAATCCCAGAAAAGAAAACTGATGTAATATTTGATTTTATACAGAATGTGAACCATAATAAATTGATGGGGGATTACGTAAGTGGTGAAATTGGTAATAATTTTTTTAAAGGTGGGAAAGCTACACTCTTAAAAAAATCAATAACCGTTGGTATTGATACGTGACTCTACCGCGTGGTATTGATCCGGTATTGAGTTAATACTACGTGGTAAAAAAATTAATACCAATTAGTATTAAAATTATTACCATGGGGTATAATTTCAATACCGGTTCTATACCAATATGGTATAACTGTTTAATACCAAGGCGGTAGAGTCACGTATCAATACCGTTAAGTTTTTTTCAATACCAAGTTTCTAAGAGTGTACATACATGAATAGAATTGGGTTGTATGTACATTTTCAATTATTATGAAGTGGATGAAGGGAGGGGTACTTTTTCAAAGGGTGTGGGTATCCTGTATGCTTGTTTAACGGGTGGAGGTGGGTTTCTGTGTGTCATTGTGATCTTGATTAAGTGTACACTTGACGAGGTAGGTAACAAGTGAGGTTTTTTGTGTATGTAAATATTGCAAAGTCGTTGAAGTAACAAGTTCAGTTATAAAATTAAGTAACGTAATTCACTCGGATATTCGTAAACTATTATTGAGGTTACACATTTATTGTAAAGTTTTAAAAAAATTCAAATTTTTCAACAAGATCGATTTAACCTCTTTATTTGCTCGCTGGCTGCTTGCTTGAGTTATAAAAATTGGATTGAGAGTTTTAAAAATCGAGCATTGTTTGATGTAAATTGTACGACAGCGTAATAAACAGTTAACAAGCCATACTTTCGTAATTTTGGTTTTACTTAAACAAAGTAAAACTACTTATCGCAGATAATCGATAATTATTTAGAATTTGTACATAGGTGTAAATTTCGACTTTGAAGAATATTCCTATGGAAATTCATTGCGAAAAGTGTGCAAATATCCCGTCCTAAAAGATGTTAATGGATCCAATATTTTTTTCAAATTGATACTTTGACAGGCTATGTAAAGTTATCTATTCTTTAACCTTTTCCCTTTTATCAAAGACGTATCCATGCACACACACATTTTCCCATAAAGGGTCCGTATTTACCTCTAAACGAAGCAGCGAAAAAAGACAAAACGCCGCCTTGATGATTACATAAGGCGAGTAGAAAGTCTTGTGCGAGGGAGAAAGTGACGCAATAAAGTGGTCTTTTAAGCCTCCTTTGAGACTCAGCACCCATTCATCTCACTCAGTGTTGGGATCACTGCCTAAATTTTTAATAAAGCCGAAATTTCGGTGAGATGCATCACACGAAGGAGGAAAAAAAGAAGAGAGAAGGAAAATGCATCGCGCTTTCTCCATTGTGCAGATGAAAGAAGTTCTTTTGGGTGAAAGTATTTATTTACGGGATCCTTACTTTTATTTGGGGGGAATGAATAGATTGCAAGTGATAAGTGGTGTGTGAGTAGTTATCACGTTAGGAAATAGGCGATAAGTGGATTTTGGATGAAAATTGTTTAAATGAAATTCAGATTTTAAAAAAAATTCTTATTCAAAAACGACATTTTGATTACACGCTTACATACACAAAACTTGGTATCAATTGATCAGAGTGATCAGCGGTATGTCGTTCTCAAATTATGAAATTAGCGATAAAGTTAAGAAGTGGATTTTGATTTTTTGAATGAATTATCGATTTTTAATGATTTTTCAAAAATCTATTCAATATTAAAAATTACAATTAATTTAATTGCACATTTATCCATCATACACAAGATTATGTACTTTCTTTAAACTTTTCAAAATTTTAGCAAATTAGGTTTTCCAACAAATTTGCTACTTTATTTACTACGCGATTACACATTTGTATTTTTCTGACTAACCATTACACAAATTTGTAGTGGATTCATGTCCACAAAAATGCGCCCCTCTTAATAAAATTGATCTCTTAAAGATGGTTACGTAAGAAATGGGTGGTTTAAGCGGTTCGATTTTGTTTTACCAAGAAGCTATTCATCTCGAATCGTATAAATTTTTAATAAGACCGAAATTTAGGTGAGATGCATCTTTACTCAATTTCTCACCCATTGTGTCTACATACGTACATCCAAGAGAAAGGTGTTTGGTGAAAGTGGGAGTATTTTTCCCGTGGTAATGAATTGATTCTTGTGCGGACGAAAGGGGAGAAAGTGTTGGTGGATGGATTTATCTGTGAACGATGTGTTATTACGCGACCCGAGGGACCGCTTATCGGCCGCACATCCCTCCAAAGCCTTCCTCGTGATAAGCGACCCAGCATAAAGACGATGGAGGAAGGGGGACACATGTTTCCGCCTCATTGAACATTCATCACGACAAATCTTAATCCGCACAATGCCCGGGTATCGGGAGGGGGAAACGTGCCTACCTAAATACCGCAAAGCCGAGGCTAAACTTGGATGCAAATTTGACAAAGTTGATTTGCATGGCACAATTTTGCAAACTGTAGCATAACGATATGAGAAATTGTGCTATATTGTGAATTCAACTGGAATTTAGAAAATTGTATACATTTATTGCTATGTATGTATTTATTTTTAGCAATATATTTGCAAATTTGATGTAGAGTTCAATAATTTTATTTTGCTTAAAATAGTTTTTTACTTGAAGACCTTTGTGGAAAAATGCACGAGCTGGATAAATGTAAATTTGACTGAACTAAAAGTTCGCAAATTCTATTTTTTTGCAAATTTTCGCTAACAAAACAGCCTATTCGTATACCCCAGTTCTTGCGACAAACGTTTGCATGCAACTGCATGTATCCTCAAAATTGCTATTTCATTAAGTAATGTCACATTTTGAAACCTAGAATTTTCCCATTTTTGGAAAATTATACAATTTTGAGCCATTTTCTTACCTGGACCACTCGCAGCATCCACACCCCCAAATGATCCGAAGACCAAGACGAGGAGGACGAGTGGGGCTCGTGGCAGTAATACTTTTCCTCCCATGTTTCTTGTTATCCTTGTGCAAAAAATCTGCAACATTTGGCACCCCCCATCTTCTTACACATCGTCACTCCCACCAACAATAGTAAATGTAACTATGTAACTATTAATTGTAAATAAATTCTACCCCACTAAAAGCACAGATCACCACCTTTTATTAGTTTGGTAAAATGAAATATCGACGTAATTTATCATTTAACCAAGTACGAGGCAAATTGAGTCAAACGTAACATGTTTTCGGTACGTATAAAAATTGGCAGTTAGGATTTTCTCGAGTTTTTTGGCGAACCATTTCCGAGTTAAAACTTATAAATTTGTGCAACATTTCTCGTTTTTCGAGCACACTTTACATCGTTCGTATTATATAAATGGGGAGAGAAATTTGTCAAATGCGGTATTATGATTACCGACAGAGACAAATTGGTAAATCGGTAAAAATTGGTGAACTGTTAAAAACTGGTTAACTAAAATTTGTCCATGTGCATAAATGAGAAATGTGCAATTTCTCTCCTTTACAAATTTTTGTCTTAATTGGATAAGAAACTTATCGGATGTGGTATTATTTTTGTTTATCAACACAGTTGGTAACTCGGTAAAATTGGTAAAAATTTATCAACGAAAAACTGTTCAGTTAGTGAAAATGTGCAATTTTTCTCGTTATTTTCTCCCCACAAAATTTTGTCTCGTTTCTTTTACGCGATTTTTACCGGATGCGGAAGCCAGTTCTTAAAGCGATGGATGATGGCTGCAGTCACAGCGGGGTTGTTGCGTGGTGAGGGAAGTGGAGAGAACTGACTCTCTGGTGCAAAGTGGGATCGGATTTTACCCAAAAAACAGATCCAGATCCAGAGCAGAGCAGAGGAAACACGGTTTGACTTTGAGTTTCTGGTGGAAGCTGGGTTTTCGTCTTGTCGGTTTGGTCTCGTTGCTTTGCAAAATATAAGGACAATATTGTCCGTACTTTAGTTGTGTTGTTGGGTCTCGGGTATGTATGAATTTGGGGCAAAAGTGTCAGCTTTCGAGGCAGGCAGGCAGTCGTGGTGTAGGCCGGACTTGGAACTGGAGGATCTTTAGGACTACCACCCACGGCGGACATGGAAAATGGTTAAGGGAAGGAAAAAGATGAAATTTGAGACGAGGCAGGCAGCTTCTCGTCTTTGGTGTTAAATGGTCTAGGAAAATTTTGGGTTTGGTCAGTGTTTTGAGGAAAAGAAGAAAGATTTTTTGGGAAACTTTGAAACTGTTTGGGGTTAAGATTATTTTAAATAGTTAACCGAAGCATGAATGTGGTGCTAAATAGCATGAAAATTAAATAGGGATTGGTCAATTTTTTAAAAACAGTTTTTTTTAACTTGTGGGGGTTGGGTTTAAGACTTTTTTTCATACTGAAGCACCAACGTATGCATAGTGTTAAATATTAACTACGAAAATTCTTGGTTTGGTCAGTGTTTAAAAAATGAATTTTTTAGGAGACTTGCAAAATTTCAGGCTTCAGATTTTTAAATACTGAACCTAATGTTAAAGACCATCAAAATTTTAGGTTTGGTCAGTTTAACTAAAAAATAGGTTTTTTTTAAACTTTACAGTTTTTGGGTTTAAGATTTTATTATAAATTTGTTGTTTTGTCAGATTCATTTAATTTTTTAGGACAAACAAGAAATTTTTGGTTTATTTACATGTTTCTTTTTTGCTTAGGGAAAGTTGTGCGATTGGGTGAGAAATTAGGTTGTGTGGAAAGATTGTAATTTTTGTAAATGAATTATTTTCCTCTTCCTTGCAAGAATTTCTTTATTTGGAAAACTTGATTAAAAAAGGTTGGCAATTTCCTGTAATCAAGGCGCCTTCCTATTTTGATTGTGAGATGTTTCTCTGTTTAGAAATGAGTTGATTTACATCAGAATCGTACGGATGTTTCCAAGCTCTCTCGCAAAGAAAGAGAAATTGCAACATGAATGTGACAAATTTTTACGAAATTTTTGCATGAACTGTAATTTAGCCTGACTTTCTGCTCTACTAAAATTTAAAGTTAACGGTATTTTTAGCATTTTTGGCAGCCCAAAAAAACTTGAATTTCTAAGCTTGTGTGGGTGATCTCATTCTTTATGCAGGCCCCCTAATTTAGTTGATCCAATAGAGAAGTTTACCAAGTTTAGTGAAATCATCTCTTTCGCTCTCGATTTTATTTTTTCCCAGAAGAAGTCAGAGATGAATCGCTTTGCCACGAACGACGGCTTCTTCACAGTCAACTTATTATTACCAGGCTGGAGAGAAGTTTGTTGTAGTATGTGTAGGAGAGAAGAGGGCCGTGCAGACGAGATGTCACCCGCGCATCGAATTGGCCAGAAATTTGTAGCATGAAAAGCTGTAGGTTTATAAATTTATCATGAATATATGTAGAAAATTTTGATAAATTGTAATCCTAAAGTTACGCAAATTTATGAAAAGCTAAAATGTTTAACAATTCTAGTTAAATTCCGGAAAATTTAAATTGATTTTTTTAAAATGACAGACACGGTTTAATAAATTTCGCCAAAGTTATCTATCTAACTCGCAAAAAAATAAAAATGTTCACCCAAATTTAAAATGCGGATGTTATACTGGAAGTAATTATTGGGGATATTCATTACTAGTTCGTAGTTTAGTAACATTAGCAAAAAATATAGTTCGCGAAAAATTTTGGCTTGCAAATTCATTTGCGAACTTGCACATCTTCAAGTTACACATCTTTATTACTTGCACATCTTTATTATTAAGTTCGCATTACAAATAATTATTACCTAAAATACGAGTATGCCAATACCCCCGTTTGTTTTAATGCCGATTTGCATATTTGTAATGTTCGCTCATATGTAAATTAATTAATTCGCAATTTTGCCCATTCTTTCCGCACATCCCTTCCTTCTTGGTGGTTGCGAAGCATAATATTCTCGGAAGTTGTGAGGAGAGAGACAGGCTAAGCTACTCTAGCCCACTTACGGGTGAGATTGAATTGACCATGCTTTTAGCTTTTCGGACCTAAAAAGAAGGGAAAAAGCAGCGGCTTTTGACTTTTTTCCTCCTCTTCCTCGCGGAGAAAAGTTTTACAACGAGTGACATTTTTGTTGACGGGACGGCCTGGTATTTATTATTGTGGAGTGGATGAAATGAAACGCGAGGGGATGTATTGAATGTCAAGTGTCGTTTGTGTGTGTGTGCCAATATTTCATGCGTTTTTGCGAATTTTGTGGGTACACATGTATGGGGAATGATTTATTGATTGTGAGGGTAATAAATTAGGGAAGAATGTGGGAATGTTGATAGGGGTGTGACGGAATAATTAAAATGTGCGAATTACACGTGTTAGTCAATAGTGGAATTAATGGATTTATGTACGCATGCCAATATTTTGCTGGAAAGTAAATGTGTCAGCGAAATAAAAGCTTGCCGATTCTTTTTGGTAAATTAAATAACAAGAATTTCATACATATGGTCAAAGATAAAGAATAATGTCGCAAATTTCGCAAAAGTTGGAAAATTGTATTTAAACATTTATATAATTTGCAATATTTGAGAGCTATGTATGTATGTGCGCATGAAGTTTGGCGTGAGTACGCCCATGATTTTGGAGTTATGGGATTCTACGAACTTGATGAATTTTGTTACAATCTAAGAAATATGGCGATAGACATATGTAACTCTACCGATTAATGTGGTGGGGGGTTTTGCCATATTGGTGCATCAGATAATCTGTAGGTAAATGAATTGTACCAATTTTAGCAAAATTGAAGTCTGCGTGAAATGAATTTTGTCACGTGTGCATCCATTTAGCCGACTTTACGGTCTGTGGAAGTTTTCTCTTTCCTATACTCGAGGATTGTTCGGATTAAGATTTGTCGTGATGAATGTTCAATGAGGCGGAAACATGTGTCCCCCCTTCCTCCATCGTCTTTATGCTGGGTCGCTTATCACCAGGAAGGCTTGGTTGGAGGGATGTGCGGACGATAAGCGGTCCCTCGGGTAGCGTAATAACACATCGTTCACAGATAAATCCATCCTCCAACACTTTCTCTCCTTTCGTCCTCACAAGAATCAATTCATTACCACGGGAAAAATGCTCCCACTTTCACCAAACACCTTTCTCTTGGATGTATGTATGTATGCAGACACAATGGGAAAGAAATTGAGGTAAAGATGCATCTCACCTAAATTTCGGTCTTATTAAAAATGTATGCGATCCGAGATGAATCGCTTCTTTGAAAAAAGCGAATCGTTTAAACCATCCATTTGTTACATCATCGTTAAGTGGAGATCAATTTATTTCAAAATTCCGTATACGTACATATATGAGGGTGATTCAATACTGATTAATTTGTATCGATATGGATCTCATGACTATTAGTTTGTAAAATTCATAAGCAAATCAATGAGTTTTATTTGTAACCGCATATTCCATATTTTTGTACAAATTTAAACTGTAAGTTTTATGTAACATGTTCCTATTATAGGTTTCAAAACTTTGTTTGGACTTACAAAATTTACAATTAAATGGTTACTTTCATATGTATGTACTTCTGAAAATAAAGTTTCACTTTTAAAATCTGAGAAAGATATGTACATACATATGTGCCTTTAAACCATGTAAATCAGATCATATAATTCAGATAAACTTATTGGAAATACATAAAATTTTACAAAAATGTAAAATATTTCTTGTTTGCATAAAATTTCTTGATTCACGCACTTGTCGAGATGAAATTAGTCACTAATTTATTTCGGATTATCACACGCTGTGTAAATATTTTTTTTCAGAATCATCAACTAAATTGGCTATTCTCACCTGGAAACTTTCTAAATATTCTCATATTATTCATTCCCTTGAAAAAGAAACTCCCACTTTCACTTTCACCAAAGAGTTCTTTCTCTCCTTTCATCTGTATCTGCACAATGGAGAAAAAGAGCGTTCTTTTGCTTCCTTCGTGTAATCCATCTCACCGAAATTTCGGCTTTATTAAAAATTTAGACAGTGATCCCAACACGTATGAGATGAATGGCCGGCTTTCTCTTAAAGTGAACATAAAAGTCGGTTTATTTAAGACACGTCTTTATTGCATCGCTTTCTTTCTTTAAGAGAGAGTGAGAGATTTATTGTGACTTGGTGAAAAAGATTGGCACAATTTTTGCTGACAGTTCTTCATCAAACGGAATATGAGACAGTTTATGTGACTGTGTAAACTTTGTAATTTTTATGAAAGTATTGACAGGCGAGAATAAAATAATAAATTTTTGTTTGTAATTACTTATTCGTTTTAAACAAATAAGGGTTTAAATTTCCAAAATCAGTTTAGACATGAAAATCGTTTAAAAAACATGAAATTTGTACAAAGTTTACAAATTTACGAAATTTGTATGAGTTTGTATTCAGGATAATTCAGAGGGATGCAGATTGCAGAATAACTGCGTCAATTTCACGAAAATTACAAACTTAAACAAAAAATAATTTCTTTTAAGGAGATTTTACATGTTTTCGGCCTGATTTTTGTATTTTAAAATTTACAAAGTTTACATACTAAAATAGAAGCCAATTTGTCCCATTAATTTATGAACATATGTGCATGTTTTCCTAATTCAGAGTGCTATTTAGCCCCGATATTTATAAAAATGTCAAACCTTTCGCGTCACACCACTCAATCATGCTATGTAAATAAAGGGTTAAATTTATTGTTGCACTTTACACAAGATTTATTACTCACGGTGTCAAGGTTTACATGCTAAATAGTTAATGAAGACGGTGACGTTAGCTGTTTTTTGTGGGGAGGAAGGGTCCGAGGAGTGCGAAGTCTTCCTGGCCGACGGGGACATCCATGTCGACGCAGACCTTGACCATGGCGGCGCGGAAGAGGGTGGGGTTCGCGTCGATAAGGCCGAGCAGCCACCTCTCTAAATTCCTCTCTTGGAAAGGCGTGCAGCCCAGACACGTTCCAAATAGTGCGGCCATGGCTCGGGCTGTAAGAAGTTAATGATTTTCAGGAATTTTCGTAATAAAGAACGCTTTGTAGTATTTAAACTAATTTGCATGGGATTTGTCATTTGTAAATGTATGTACATATGCATAAAATTTACAAGGTTACGAAACTTGGCGTGAGTACGGAATGAGAGATTGCTTAATTCTGAACTTATGAAACTTTACAGTTGAGAATTTAGCACATTATAACGTATTCGAACTAAAAATAAATATTTTGGGCTTTGACGTGACTGTACCTAATAATCAGTTTGTATTGCAATAATCGTGAAAAATCATACTTTACGAGGAGAAACAAAAAAAGTTGAAAATTTTTTCTACCATAATTTTGCAAATTGTGAAAACGTCTTAAAAATCTATGTTCTTAAGTTTGTCGACACAATTTATTTATAATTTAATTCTCCTTCGTAATCTTTGTAACGCTGTAGGGCTTAACTTTTCTACAAATTCACTTGTGAATGAATTGCATCAAAGATTTGAGTAATGATTTTTCAATTTTTTTTAGAAATTAGAGAAAAATTTGTTTAAAAAATAGTAGAAAATTTGAACTCACGTTTCAACCACTTTCCGATAAGGTCACAGTGCCCCTCGAAGAAGACGCATTTGAAGATGAACTTGAGATAGTGCGTCCTCCTGAAAACGGAGGGCACGTCAAGTTCGTCCAAAATGGGGAGCAGGGTCAAAGGGTATTTCTTCCCGGGGAGGAAATACCGACCATTCTCGTCTAGCTCACCCCCCACAAAAATATTCCCCACAAAGTTCAAGTTTAGGAGAAAAATCGCACACAATTTTGCGATTCTCACTTTCCCCAACATTTCTACATTTCGCCCATAGTAAAACAGATTTCAGAAATTTGGAGATGCGAAGAATTTAAAAATTTATAAAACCGTAAAATTTTTAAAACTGTGCAAAGTTTAATTTTGGAGAATTTCAAACCCTTAAAACGCAAATTCGAACACTGCAAATTTTTGAGAAAACCTTGGTCAATTTGCACCTAAATTTCGTCTAAGCTCTAAATCTGTGTAACTTACTGGAGAATTTCAAATCCTTAAACGCGTGCATAAATTTTGATACCGAAAATTCTAGCAAATTTGCGAAATTTTTGCCAATTTCCTACTAAAAGTGTGTCTGTCGCAACGAGACGATCCACCTCGACTAAATGACCACGGTTACGAAGTTTGCCCCAAAATGGCAATAAATCTTCCACGGGTGGAGTTTCGCACATAGATCACTCATACTTTCGTACAAGTCACCTTGACCCAGGCAAAAAAACGAACAATACGTTTTGCAAATTTTTTGCTGCACTTCTTCTTCAATGGGCAGCATTCCAACTGATATTTTTTGTCATGTGTGACTAAATTGAATATTTAATTCATCTCAATCGTAAATATCTTCCTTAATTTGCATCCAGAATTAGCCAGGGAGGACGAACGACGTGAGGTGGACATGCTAAGAATAGCAATGTGTTATATAAGAACAAATATTAGATTTGCGAATTAATGGGCAATCATATTAATAGGACCGACTAACTAGGATCACCAGGCAGATGGGGGCGTGCAAAAAAGATGTCACAACAGGAACAAAATTAGTATACTCATTTTTTATTGAGAGTATAAAAAAATGTAGCCGAATTGTACACTGTTTAAGAAAACGAATGTTTTTCTAGCTGCAGTTTTTGTCTTGGAAATTTAATGCAAAATTTGTTCATCCAAAGGGCACCCTATTGCAAAATATTTAGCAATGGTCGGCATATGCTGAAAAATACCTGTATGAAACTAATGAATGAATTTTTTTCAGGAATGCATAATTTTTTGCATAGTAAAAGATGTTCAAGAAAAAAACGCCATCTAGCAAACGATCGAAGTGTAATATAAAATGATGAGGTGGCGCTTATTCCTATCATTTTTTGCACCTGGAATTTCTTGCATTTCATGCACCTTGGATTCCTCGCAAATCTTTGCAATGCAGTGAAAAATTAATGTGGAAAAGTTTGAAATAAAACACAAGCCATGATGGAAACATTGTTCTTTAATACTGGAAAATTTCCCATATTCGTTTTCCATATTCAATCAAATCTGTTCCGATATTTACTTTTGTGCTAAACAGTCTTAGATGTAATGCTACCCACGTTTCGCCTGCACGGTCCCCCCGCCTGCCAAAACAATGCCGAGTGAGCGAGACTTGATGTGCATGTTAAGTAGAGGAATGGCATGGTCAAGTGATGCAAGTGTTTATTTGTGGCCGTGAGTCCGTCTTAAAACCATTTACCTTTGTTTTAAAGCCGATTTGTTTTTAGTTCTTGGTTTTATTGCTCAATTATTCAATCAGATAATTTAACCGTGGGTTTATTAATGATATAAAATCAGTGAGTTGATAAGATTAAGGGAGATTTTAGTATGATTTGATGATGAGAAGTAAAAGTATAAAATTTGATTGGATATGATACCCAGAATAAAATTTGGAAGGAGCAATATATGAATATTCAGGTAATTAAGGGCTCGTTGATAAATTATGTTGGTAACACGAGGTTGTGGAGTGGTGGATGCAGATAAATATACATTTGGCAGTGATAATGAAGTAGCGGAAGCGAATATTTAATATCATGTCATCTGTCCTCTATTAATTATGATTAAGATAGATATATACAATGAAATAGTGTTTTTTTCATCTTCCAACGATTTTCGAGTTTGATAGCTTAAAATTTGCGTAATTTTGTGTAGATAAAGAATTCGTAATAAAAAAGGGGGGGTCGACCAGCAGTTTTCGAGATCTGGGCCAAAATGTGCGAATTATTTGCAAATTGTGAGATATTCAGGTTTTGACTAAACCTTAGGTTTAGTATGACTCGAAATAATTTTAAAAATTATTTTGGACTAGAATTCGGCCGCTGCCTCGATTGCGGACCCCCATTTTCCAATATGTTGAGTTTTGCAAAATAATTGCAATTTCCATATTAGTTTTCCACGATGGAATTAGGGTATTTATTAAAGGTTCTTAATGTATTGCTTAATTATACCTCATAGTGATAAACAAATGTTACCAATTCCAAAAGAGATTTTTCCAGAAAATGCAATGAATTTCTTTCGAAATTGAAATTTAGAATATTGCAGGTCTAATTATACAATGCATGTAGTAGTTGGATGAGCTTTTTGGTCATTAGGAATTTTGAAAGCAGCACAAAATTTTGTTAGCAATTCGGAATTTTGTTAACAATGCAAAGATTTTGTTAATGCCGCGGCGACTTGTTTTTTTTACCAAATTACGAAATTATGATTTTTTTACACAAATAAAATTGTCACCTTGTTTCAAATCAATGTATAAAGTGCAGCCATCTCAAAAATTTAGAACATTTTTAACCTACCGGTTTATTATTTTGGATATTTAAGTCTGTAAGACAAATATGCGCATGCATAGCTTTAAGTCTCAAATTGCAAATTTTTTGGCAAATAATAACTGCATATTGAACATGACTCTGTTTGCAGTGGTATCATCATTATCCAACATGTTAATTGAGTATATACATACATACATACATACATAAATACATATTTACATACAGCACAAACTTACTTAACCGAATTTTGACCAAGTTCCGGCTAATCAATTCCCCTGATAAAATAATCAATCAATTGAAATACAATACAATTCTGACCTACGCAATTAAATATCTATGTATGTAACTCATACTCAACATTGTCCATTATGTATCTATGTACATACATAAGTATATTACACAACAGTCTGAAGTGGGATGACAATAAATTATATAAATGTCAATTCCATGTAACATAATTTGGAATTTGTCCGTAAAGTTAAATATGTATATCTAGCTCTTTGCATAAATACGGGTTCTCGAGGTCCGAGATAATCACTGCTCTAGAAGTAACTTAAGCAGTTAACTAAATATTTATAAAATGTGGGGTCAACTTATTCAACCCTTACTATGTTTTGGACTTGCCTTATCCTGCCTGGCAGGTAGATAAATACTTATTACTTTGTTTTATTTTAGATAATAAAATCAGTGGAATTTAACTAAGGATATTTTCTCACGCAATGATCACATTTTGTTTAGCCCCGCATCGATTGGGGGAGTGGGGGAACAAAATGTATTTTCGCGCCGACGATACTACGGTTCGTATGCATGTGTAGCTTTTAAAATATACCGCAATAGTTTTTAATGATTTATGTCGATAATCTGATCCGATCCGATCCAACCGAATTATTCGACCAATGAGTATACTATCGATCCGATCGTATCCTATTTATGCTGGATAAAAAAATCCGACTCGATTTCCAGGAAAAAAAGCAGAGTTCGATCTGATCGGATTATGCGGAAATTTATTATAACACGCATTCTATCTAGTCGGGCTGGATTATCCGACCATTTACTTTAACATGGATCCGATTTCCGGATAAAAAAATCCGATCCGATCCGAACGATCAGACTTTTCTGTATCGAATCTACCAACCCTAACCATATTTATACAATAATTACTTGCACAGGCCACGTGGGACCAATCCGTGACCCGCTGTAATTATTACGGCATGAAGTTCGTTGATATCAATTCAAACGAGGAGTTAACGGCGCTCGTTGGAATGTTGGGACCAAGTGAATAACAAATTTTGAAATGTGCATTAAAACGGGAAGAATCATTAATTTCAAAAATTGTATTTAAGGGGTTTACTGGACCTCGGGAAAACAAGTGTTCGACTTCAAGTGGGCAACTACGAATGCTAGGGTGGACCTTGATTTACGCAGGGAAAACGAAACATGCGTCTACATTACGCCTGGAGGTTTCTTGGGTGTGTTTCCCTGCACGGAAAAATTATATACCTTGTGCTACGCGATAATTAATTAACTTTTGTAAGTGTTGTACCTACATTAAATTTAAGCTTGTTTCCAGATCATGATTAAAGAAATTAGTTTTGTTTAAATTTATGCAGATTTAAAATTGCTTGTTATTTAATGTTGGATATGAAGTAAATATAAAATTAAATATTTAATTAATTTATGTATAACAATGGTTTATGTAAAGAAATATTAGAGTAAAAAATAATACTGCTTAAGTAACGTATTAGTGGACACTTTTATTGCGCTTTTATGTCCTTAAACCCGAATGTGAATATATACATATACATAGATATACCGTAATTTTCGTAAAGCCACCTAGACCTTATCAGCAGGATCACATGAACCTAAATTTGTATACCTCACACCGGACCAGATTGGATCATTACAGGAACATATCATTGTTCGCAGTACGTTAATCCATGCCAAATAACAAGGGAAAGTCATCGACTGCTCCCCGAGTTCAGGGTACCCACTAGGTTTTTTAGAATCTACCAGGACCCCAAATGAAGGATCCATGCATATTTACGTTCAAAACTTATATTTGGCGCTGTGGCGTGGCGCCATATTCGCGAAATTTGAATGTTTTTATTTTTAAAACCGCCATAACTTTTGAAATCCTGGACGGATTTACAAAATTGTTTGACCAAAATCATCACAAGGGGTTCAACTTTCGATTTCCTTGAAGTTTTTGAAAAACTGAAAACAACGGACTTTCAAACTTTTGCACAAATTCCGAATTTTCTTAAATACAGGGGTTCGCTGAAAAAACTTTAAAAATATTTCAAAAATTAACATTTTGTAATTTTTGATTTTTTTCTTGAAATTTCGGATTTTTTGATCATTTTAAGCTCAAGATTTTGAAAATCCCACGGAAACTGCAAAAGTTATGGAGGTTTGGTTGCAAATTCAGATTTTTAAGTTTGGCGCCACGCCGCGCCGCCAAATATGAGTTTTGCACGTAAATATGCATGGATCCTTCATTTGGGGTCCTGGTAGATTCTAAAAAACCTAGTGGGTACCCTGAACTCGGGGAGCAGTCGAGGACCTTCCCTTGTTAGTTATATAAGTTTCTTACTGCGTACGATTTTGAACTTATGTATGCATGTATGACTAAGCACCTTACTAAATCCAACTTTTCAACAATCTACACGTTCCGTGGATTAGGATTAGTTATTTAGAAATAAGTAATCCACGCATTCATTAAGGAATTTGCTAAAGTTACGAAATTATTTTAATTTTGTACGACTTCAAACTTACATAGATATTCATATATGTAACTAAATACGTGTATGCATACATGTAAGTATGTAGATACATACATATGCACCAATAAATGTTTGTAGTGGTCAGGATTAACTAATCCATACCATTGTATATCTTATCAAGAGAATTTAATAAATAATTACCTTAAATTAACCATTTACCCCAGTTTTTATTGTAGGTACGTACATAATCTATTAAAATGACAAAGGTATTAAACTATTTACATGAAGCAAACACAATTCTGACGTACTGGTTTATATCTCTTCCAAGTACTTTTATATAATACTTCACTCTTAAAAACTGGGTAGTAAAATAATCACTGGAAGTGCAAAATGATGGTAATAAAAAAGATGCCAATCAGTCGCAAACCTTTACAACTCCTGTAGGAAATTGTTACCAATGCCGATGCCAGTTAAGAATTTAATTTTAATTAATTAATTACATAATTAAATTTAATATCAGTTTCCTTTGAGTGAATGTAAATATGTAAAAAGAGTATATGTACGTGTACTTACAAATATATGTATGGAAAATTATATACATATACGTCCATTGTAATAATTTAGAAACGTAATTCACTAATCCACACCACACAATTACCAATATGTATTATCAGAGAATATGATTTATCACCTTAAATTACGTCAAAAACTAAGAATGTAAATCCCGAGTAATCCTAATGATTTATACATGTGACTCTACCTCTTTTTACTATTCAAGGAATCATAAACTTGTTGAAGTCTTAAGAGGCTTATTCCACATTAATTTTAATTATCTATAACATTATAAAATACATATATACATGTAATTCCTGGATCAGTCGTTATCTGACTTAAAAGTAAAGTCCGATTCTCAGCCTGCGTAAAAATACAGGTGTAATACTTCCATGAAAAGCATACCATTGTTTTTATTCCACAGGAATCGCATTGTGCAGGCACTTGGCTAACCGAGCTATCTAAAATGTGGCGGAAACTTCACTTATTTTTACCTTTGGGAGTCGTGTATTCCTGCGTCGCGGCAGATAAAGGTATTTCGTAATTGATTCACTTGACCTAAATTTATGGAGGATGTTCATATCCTCTTCTTCCGATACACTTTGGATTTAGGCCTGGATTCTGTTGGGCAAGGGGGATCTATAATGGCCCTAAATTATTTGGGGGCATGGGAAGGAAGAAGGTATTATCGGGCTGAAGATACTTATGTAAGTATATTCCATACGTTTTTATTGCCACGTGAATATTCGAATTTAGTAAAATCATAACCACGTGTTATCTGTGTATGTAAAGCTTAGGTACATGTATATTTCACAAATGCAATTAAATTTCCTGTCCATTCATTAATAAATATTTAAATGTTTCCATGTTTTAGCTATGTGCAGTTTGGGTTTCACAGACATTTTGTTAGATTATATGTATTGGACAAATCTTTACCAGGCTAAAAGTGATTGCACGTGGTGTCGATAACTATATATATGTACTTATTTCGAGGTGAAACCTCTTTATAGTTCGTTATGTCCGTCCGTCTTTCTGATAACAGTGATAACTCGTGGCCGCAATATGTGCACAGATATGAAACTTTGGAAGTACGTTTTAAAGATCCATCTCTCGTCATTTTGACCTGCGACATCTCGGTGAACTCCAAGAAAAGGTCTAAAATCTCGAAAGCACACCAGCCTCACGCCACGTTTCAATCTTAACAAATTTTCGACGGATAAAAACATAAATCATATTCATATTATGACACTGGTTTTGCCCATGTATGTGCTGTAACGGTTGATCTAAATAGAGTGCACTTACTTGTATTGCAGGCCACGTGGTCAGAATCGATGGCACGATGCAGTTCGCAAGGAATGGTTCTCGCTGATTTACGTTCAATTCAAGAGATAACAGCGGTTAGCAAAATGCTAAACGAAAGTAAGAAACAAGTGTCAAGTTGACTGGTGGATATGAATATATGTAGCATTAACTCATTGGGTGTTTCAGATCACTGGACGGCAGGTCAACAAATACCGAGTTTCAAATGGGCAACGACCACTTCCACAATTGTGTTTCCCGTAGTCATGGATGACTGGACGTGTGTTCTCCTCAGTCAGAATGGATTCCTGTATGACGCCCCATGTTCTGGACTCGCTTGTGACACGACCACTTCTCCAACCAAACATGACATTCCCTATTCATCCACATCTCTCATAAATCAAAGCCAAGAATTAAAAGCCATTCAAATATTACGTTGTGTCACACGTGATTAAGATTTCGAAACGAAAAGAATATGCATTTACCAATATAGTAAATTATCGGCAATAAAAGTTCTGGTCAACTTTATTTTTCTTTCCTTTATTGTTAAGTGAATCAGTTAATAAAGTGTATGTTTTAATTGAAACAATCACTTAAAGTGATTCGTCAATTGTAAACTTATTTTTATATTGCTAGCAAAGACAAATTTACTAAATTGAACAACTAAATTAAATAAGAAATACGAATAACTAAATTCTTAAGTTCCATCTGCAATGGCCAGAATATTATGTGGAAAGGTGAGGTAGCGTGGCCTTTATTTACGTTGTGTAAAACGTGGCAGTCATCGCATCATTCAGATTATTACTTTAGATTTAATCAGGATATGTAGTCTCTTGAGTTCATTCGAAAATATCGAATTGCACTTCAAAGCTGCAAGTGCCTCAAACAAATCATCCATTTATGGGAGAATAATGTATATATATATATGAGATGCCCCTTCCTTCTTTTATCCATGTAGAAAAGTAGTTAAAAAGTAGTTGAAAAGTAGTTAAGGTATTGTTGGTCAACAATAGCATCCGAGAAAGTAGTTGACTACTTTGTTTCAACTAATTTAGAAAAGTAGTTGAATCTTAAACTACAACTACTTTTTGCAAAAAATTGTAGTTAACATGTAATTAACTACAGTTTTGTAGTTAACTACTACAACACTGATACATGCACATGTCAATAAACTTTGGCTGGAAAATTATATTAGTCCGTTACCCCGATAGATGTCATATTTACTTTTTGAAAATTACATAATTCAATAAATAATTTTTCTAGATAATATTTTTTACAAGTTTGCTACCTTCGCCTTGGTTTTTATTTAGGCATCAATGTTTCTTACATAAAAAAGTGTGAGGGTTACGTGACGCCGATCTTCTTACTTAGATTCATATACACCTCTTGACAATTTTAATCATTTGTAAAATGACAGCCACTCATTCCACAGTATGGCATGTATTTATCCAAAAAACTGATTGATCACCCGTAATTAAGCACGCACATCCACTTAATTTTGACTACAAGTTCCGCTTAATCTATTTATCTGATAACCTACTGCATAAATTCAGTGAAATGCAACAACTTGCACCTAATTATGACGTCAATAATTTAATGTTTTTCACTAGAATGTGCTAAACGACGGAATTTTTTTTACTTTGAAGTGGAATAATCGATTTATGATTTCTAATTAAATGAAATTTGTAATCTGTTGACGAATTTTCAATGAAATCCAGCACATATTCTGCATATAAATACGTGTGCAAGGTGCTCATCAAAATCATTCCATTCTATTCCACTATCAAGAGACTTTAGTAATTAATTTGAGCTAACTAAAATGTGGCGGGAACTCCAACTTATATTTCTTCTGGGAGTGGGCATCACCTGCGTGGCCGGAAATCCGGGTAATTATTTCAAGAATTTCCAAAATTTATTTCAAACTAGTTTATTCCCCGTGTAAACGCGGGTTGGGGTAAGTTAATCCCGTCAGGGGCAATTTGAAATTCAGCGCCAGTTTATATAGGGACACGCCACTATCAAATTCTTGTTTTGATAAGTACTAACTGTCAACTAATCGAAATTAAATATTCTTATTACTCTAGCCCCGAATAGCACCGTCCAAGGGGGAGGATCCACCCTGGCTCTCACCTATCTGGGAGCGTATGGAGGAAAAACCTACTTCCGCGCAGAAGAAACCACGGTACTTAAGAGCTATGCAAATTTTACTGACGTATTTGTTAAACATGCTTGTCAACAAAATTATTTAGGCCAACTTTGCAACTTCAAAGACACGATGCAGTTCACAAGGAATGATTCTCGCTGACATCCGCACATCCCAAGAGTTATCAGCGCTCAACTCTATCCTTGGATCGAGTAAAAAAATTAGCATAAGATCTAGATCAGCGTTTGCCGTGAGAAGAACTGCATGAAAGAAACTACTGCACCGAAATTGTTTTTCAGACATAATTTTTTGCACGAGTGCGAGAAGTTCTAGAAATAAGGGCCACCTAGCGGTTGATCCAGATAGCTATTATGGCACAATGGATGAACCGCTAAATGGCGCCTATTCTTGCACCTCGGAGATTGCACCTTTTTGCCGGGAAGTACAGGAAATGCGGAAAATCAAACACTGTTCTAGATGCAAATTGTTAAATTTATGCATATGTTTTAAGTAAAATTATCGTTGCTATCGCATTTATTTATTCAGCTCAGTACTGGACATCTGGTGAACAGGTCTCGTCCTACAGATGGTCAACGACGAACGGTCCAGTTGACCTACCGGTCACCATGGCTGATCCCACGTGTGTCTATATCTACGCCGGTACTCTGCGGAACGTTCGATGTTCTACAAATTTACAAACCTTGTGCCAAACTTAACGGCGAAATGGAGGGACTTGACTCGACTGAAACTTAGATTTAACGTAAAGAATAGACATTCTTTCCGTTAAATCTAAGTTTTACGACAATCCTGGCTAAATCAATTTGCTTTCTTTTAATTTTTCCAAATCGAACTTAAATCTTATTTCTTAAAGTTAATGATGGATTACGCATATAATTACTTCTAAGACATATTGGATTATTGCTTATGATAAATATTTAAATTGAAACATATGTATACTAATAAACACTATTGATATGTAGCAAGAAATATGATCACCACTCTAACCAATGGGAATTCGGCATGTGAAATGGTACGTAAACGATAAGCGTAATTTTAATTTGTGCTGCCAGTCAGTAACAAGCATTACACATTTTGATCTCACCATGACGGCCGCTACAATATTAACCTGTCCAACTGGACAAAACTTGTATCACTTTAACCCCCAAGGCTTAACCTCCTTGGCAACAAATTGACTAAAACTCAATGTCATTATCCCACTACTAAAAACTTGAATGTTGGAAAATTCTGATGGACAAAAAAGCACAAAAATAGAATAAGAAAATTAGTTTCAAGTCATTGTAACATATTTATTACGTAGAAACTACCCAACTCATGAAATCATAAATGTTGGTAACAGTTGTAAATTTATAAAATTAAGAAAATATGCACAAAAACATTTTAGAAGATCAAAAACTGATGAAATATTTGTCTTGTCAGTGTGAAAATTAACTCGGATAATTATAAAATATGTACTTCGCAAGCAATACAAATAAAAACCAAAACTATCATAAAGCTTAACCTTCATAGAATACTTTTTTTACAAAGGTTACAAATCTAGCGTGATTGTCACATTGTTATGCAATACGAAAGGATGCGTGGCTGCATAAATGAGACGAATAGTTCCGGCGTGGGTGCCAAGCTTGGGCTGAATATTTGTCTCGATTTTTGCATATTTTCCCTTTGTATGCATCCACCAATTCCAGCCAGAATGGAAATGGAACTGACATTGTAATAAAGACGAGGAGGATTTGATCAAATGCGAGAGATGCAATAAATGACGATGTTTACACTTCAAACGAAAGAAATTTCATATATTTAGATTAAGATTTTGTTAAAGGTAAAAAAAGTCGTGGCTGGGATTCTTAATGTAAATGTCAGGTTAGATTGGAGGTGTTGTACTTACGTAATTTTGTCCAATAATAATTTATCAGTTCCATGTAAATATACTGGAATATACGGGAGTAAAATGACACATTGGGGGTATTCACATTTGTTTGCGAAATTAAACATGTCTGTCTTAGAAAGGTTTAAAAAATTGCAAATCATGTTTTGAGTAAATTTTGAACACATATTTTTGAAACGTTGGGGTATTTACTACTACTTAATTCGAATTTTGTTTGCTAACTAAAATATGTACATAATTATAATTAAATATTTACGTGATAGTGTTAGAAATACATAAATTTGCATCTTATTATTGTTTCAGCAAATTTTCATCTTAATTAATTAAAAACTCTGTGTCTTGTTTATCGACACGAAACGAATGCCCACATCCACCTCACCAAAATTGTAAATACTAAAAAATCATTGTCAACTGTTTCAGCAATAAAATTTTTAAAACTTCCAATTTCACCCAATGGATTGAAAGAAAGTTATGTATGCATTCCTAAGAAATAAGTAAATTTGTTGCTAAAAAATTTACCATGTGCAGATTTTATGTCTCTGCATAAAAATTTGCATGCCATGACTGATTTGCAGTAAGCGGAAGGGGATAAAGATGAAAAATGTTGGCAGTGGCGACATCCTTGTCACGGAGGAAGTCGCCACGGGGGGAAGTGTTATGTTATGTCGTCGTCTGCAGTTCCACTAAATAAAATAATAATAAAAAACTTGAAATAATGAAAACCGAGAAAATATTTTTTTTTGCAAAAATGAGAAACAAGTCGGAAACATATTCTGTTACGAGACCGCTCCCGGGCAGACATGCGGATCGAATTTAATTGAACCTAAATAATGCAGGGAGTGGGAGACGTGCATGTTGACATTTATGAGGACAAGGAGGTAGCTGGGTTGGCTACACTGTTATAAATCTGGGATACTTACAATCCAAGTCTTTTACGTGTACAACTCAGATCTTGTTGGGACCAATTTTATTTTGTTCAGCACAAAAAATAAGCATACCCGTATTTTTGCATTTTTCATAATGCGCTAATTTGAGCACGGGCGCGAATTTTAAAACATTTTTCAGCCAAAACCTCGGTTTTTTAAAATTCTGTAAATTTTCGAATTTTAGCCCGAATCAAAAAATTCGAAAACATGTCTCCTCAGAATGACTTACCTGACTTATGAAAAATCCAATTGTCTCAAAATTTGATTTTCAAAATTTTTTGGCAGTTTTTGAAATTTATTAAAATTATAAACTCTTTCAAATTTTTAGTTTTTCAAAAAATAATACGTGGATTTTTCATAAGTCAGGTAAGACATTCTGAGGAGACATGTTTTCGAATTTTTTGATTCGGGCTAAAATTCGAAAATTTACAGAATTTTTAAAAACCGAGGTTTTGGCTGAAAAATGTTTTAAAATTCGCGCCCCGCGCTCAAATTAGCGCATTATGAAAAATGCAAAAATACGGGTATGCTTATTTTTTGTGCTGAACAAAATAAAATTGGTCCCAACCAGATCTGAGTTGTACACGTAAAAGACTTGCATTGTTAGGCGGGTACGGATTTCTTGGTATTAAAGTTGCTACCGTTTGGTATTAAAATTATACCGTTCATACAAATTTGTTACCACAATGGTAAAACTTCAATATCGAGCTATTATTACTTCGTATTTCTTATAAATACCACTTTGGTAGAGTCATATATTAATACCGCTTGGTATTATTATAATACTGGATTTCTTAGAGTGTACATAGGTTGAGGATGTGGGGGCCGCATAGAAAATATGTACACCTGGAGAAAAAACAAGCGGGGACGACGTGAAGGATGTTTTTTTGGAAATGTTTGGGAATTTTGAAACATGTACATATATTTTTCATGTCGTCATAAATGACATGGGAACAATACAGATAGACTTATTTGGCCTCTTAAATCTGTCCTCATTCTTTTTGCACGGCCTCGGAAGGTAGATTCAATTCCACAAAAATGGGAAGTAGTTTGTAGTTCAAGGCAGGAAATTATGTAAAGTGCGTGAGTGCAAGAAGAGGGAAATTCCTGTAGCTGGACGACATTACGTAACTCGTAGACGGAGTGAGAAGGTAATTTAATCCACAATTTTTGTGCGACATTTCGAACACACTTTGAAAAAATGATTTAGTTTGAAGGTTACGAAGCATTTGACATACTGGATAATTTGGGGGACTAGATGAGTAAAGGAAATGGATAATTGTACATATATTTGTTTTTACGGGGCGTACTCACGTCAACCATTTGCATATCTCGCATATCTCACAAATTGAGCTGATAGGAACTTCTGAAATTTTGCAAAATTTCGAAAAAAAATTGCAGGAAAACTACAAGATTTTATTCACTATTAAGAAGGTTTTCATTTCGTAAACTCATCCTCACTTGACATAAAATACTTTAAAGGTTGTAAATAATCCATTGAAACCATAACTTAAAATACAGTAACAGAAAAATTTGCACAGATTTACGAAATAATATTTGGCATCCCAATAAATGAGGTGTGATGCTAAATATAATACTTTGCCGAAAGTATATTAACTATTAAATGACTACTTTTTATCAAATTTATATAATGCAATTCATGCCAAATTCCAACAAGGGACTACATTTTGACACCGTGTTTTCTCTAAATTTTCAATTTTATAAATTATAATGATCTCCAATTTTTTTAAGTTACATAACTTAATGTCAAGAGACGTGCTGTGAGAAAACCATTTCACGTATCGTGTAACATTTTACTCCTCTTCTGCCAAATGCTGAGGTCAAGGTACCCCATTGTGCATACACAAACAAATATGCATAATGCAGCACATGTGTCACTTTAAAACTGCAGATGCATACATAAATTTCTCCATCTAATTCTCTCCTTGATATTGGACTTGCATTTCTCTCCTTCGATTTTGGTCTTGTGCCAAAAACTCTCCCTCCAAATTGAATGGGACGCAGAAAGAAAGGAGATCATTTCGTTAAACCGAGAAACAATTACGACCCGGCAAGTACTGTTGTAAGTAGCTGCACACAAATGTGACATATTTTATGATGATATCCCTACACAGATAATATCTGTGTAGGGATTATAAAATTACACATTATGCACGTACCCATCTACACTGTTAAAAATCTAGTAAAGTCACATATGCTCTGTACCAGTATTGATTTGGTAACATCTTCCTACCAGATTGGTGGTAGTTTGTTGCTAAGCGGTAAATTTTTCATTACCACAACAGTATTAAATGGTAATGCCTGTTATTATCAGCGTGGGTAAACGCAAACGTATACGTCATACGTACTCATACACACTCTTAGAAGACTGGTGTTAAATCATTACTGACCGGAGTACATGTAAATATATGTATGACCTTAATGACATTGGTAACAATAGGGATTACCGCTTAGTAATGTTTTTGCAAAGAAAAACTTACCACTCAGAAACAAACTGCTACCAATCTGGTATATAGGAAGTTATTACCAAATCAATACCAACACATATTTAGTAAACGTGTGATTCTATAAGATTTTTAACAGTGTGTAAATATTCTCCGGCAATGATTTAATACCCGTTTTCTAAGAGTGCAACTATATGAGGAGCTGCATCGCTATTTTTTTACGGCGTGTTTTCCCTTGTTCTCGTTTTCTCGAGTGAATCATTCAGCAAATGGGAATAAAATTAGAATAAGCTGCCTTTCATGTTGCTCAAATATTGGGGGGAAACCGTTTGGTTTTTATTTTATGAGTTGTCAACCTGCGAGTCTCCACTTTGAAGAGAGGAGTGGAGAATAAAAGTGAGAAAATGGGGAAAAGACGACGAGGAGAGAGTTTTGTTTTTCTTTTCGCTCACCCTATTTCCATTTTAATCCCAGGAATTTGGAAAACCGGAGGCCGGGTAGACAGATACAGGGTTTTGGTGGGTTCCTCCATGGGTTCTAATGGGTATCAAATGATTAAAACCCGTTGGTTTTTACCATTTTAACTGGGTTTTAGTGAGTTTAATGAATAAAATTGGACATCAATTGGAAAAACAAGACATAACACCCAGAAACCCCATTTAAACTCGTGGGTTGCTTTTTAAAATTGAAACC